ATTAGACATTGGGAAGAAATTTTTTACTATGAGGGTGTTGAGGCACTTGCACAGGTTGCCCAGAGAAGCTGTGCCAGCCCCATCCCTGGCAGTGTTCAAGGCCAGGTTTGATGGTGCTTGAAGCAGCCTGCCCTAGTGGAAGGTGTCCCTGCCCATGGCAGGGGGTTGGAACTAAATGATCTCAGAGGTCCCTTCCAGCTCAAACCATTCTATGATTCTGTGATTGTGTTTCCATACCAGCTTCTACTAAAGGTAAGAACTTCTAAAGTCAGTTGAGGCTGGAAAGCACCACTGGGGATCATCTAGTGCAACCTCCCTGCTCAAATAGTCACCTAGAGCACACTGCTTAGGGTTGTGTCCAGATGGCTGTTGAGTATCTCCATGGAAGAAGATTCCACAATCTCCCTGGGCAACCTGTTCCAGTGCTCAGTCACCCTCACAGTAAAGGAAGTTCTTCCTCATGTTCAGTCCTTGGTGCGTGCTCCGAATGTGGCTTTCCCTCATTAGGACAGAGACCCCGTTTGAAATGTAGGTTTGTGTAGAATGGTAGGGTCAGCTTCTTCTGAAGGTTTGATGCCCTACCTGAGCCTTACATCTGAGGAGGGGGGTGGAGGTGCTCATATCTGCTGCTCCTTATTCCTTCTCCTGGGTCACTCCAGTCTCTCTTGGGCAGCTTCTTGCTAGGTTTGTAACAGCCAGCACCAGCCACGTGTGGATCAGCTTATTGGACTTCATTGTCTGCTTGCAAAGGAGGCGACATGAGCATTTAATCTGTTTTTCCTCTTCTTAATTTAACATTATTTCTGCTGAAGAATGTCATTTTGAGGATGATTTATCCCATTAAAAAGGGGGTGGCTTTAATTTTAAAATTAAAACTATTCCTATTCAATATAGACATGGATAACTCAATAGCTGTAGTGATAACAACCAAATTTGCATTTTTATAGTCATTCACAACGAGTTCTTGTGCAGGTGACAAGCTTTTCCATTTTCTCTAATACAAGAATGAGATCATTGTGTTGGTCTCTGTGGGTATCAGTTTGCTGCGAAAATCATCCTTTTTGGCAGTTGTGCTGGTTTAGGTTGAAACTGCTCATGTGTGTTGGTGAACAGATCACTCCTTCTGCAAGGTAAGGGAAAAGTTAGCTCTTTGAGTCTAGCTTTACTTATTTTTAATGTACAAAGAGGAGGTTCTGAAGGGAAGGGACTGAAAATGCTTGGCCATACATTTATTCTGCATTCCTGTCAGCACTTGTGAGGCGTTAAAAGCTTTATCTTCTTGCTTCATAAGCATGATTTCACATCAGATTAAAGGAAGGAAATGGCAGATAGAGCGTGTGCAGCGAGGGGGGGAACAAAATGAGCCACCTCACTCTTAAATTTGGCTGTGACACATAGGCCAAATGGAGATGGGAGACAAAGATTGGGGATCAGAAGGTTCTTTCTTTTAACTAGTGGGAAAGTCAAGTATGTACTGTGCCTGTAAGAGAGGCTAGAATTAACCATGGCAATTTGGACACGGTAGGTGAAAAGCAGCGTTGTGGCAGGTTGGTGGGGATGGTTGATGGTCAACCCCTGTTCTGTGTGGTCGTATGTCAAGACAGGACCTTCTCTAGGAGCACTGCCTAGAGGCTCAGCAGCATCTGCAAGGTCTCACCGCTCAGGGATGATGGAGAACTTCTGATATTGCTTGCATGGGCTTTGTGCTCTGCTGCAGAGGCAACCCCTGGGACTGGGGTGTTCAGCATTTGACTTCCCCCCCCCCACTGAACCTTACTCCTGCTTTACTCACTGGGCATGCTTCAGTCCAGCTCAAATAATGTAGAAAATACACTGAAAAATGATTATATTTCTTCTGCATGATGCCTCTCCTGTACTTCAGGAGGCTTTCTCTGATGGCCGAAATAAGGGTAGCTGGGAAACCTGCATTCTGCACCTGACTTCTCCAGTGACTATCTGTACCTCTGGTGAAGTTAACAAATAATTTTTGTTTGCTTGGGTCCACTTGTGAAAGCTGGTAGCGTTGTGTATAGCGGTATTCAGGTTTTCTCCCTTAGCCTTTTGTCCTTCAGCACATAAAAACTATTTATTAAACCCAAATAAATGCTGCTGCAGTTCACCTGGGCTCACCAAGCCAGACTCCGTGCTTGTTTAGATCTGCTGCAAAATGCCTATTTGCAGCTCAGGCTTATGTTACTGTGGGTTGGGCAGCAGAATTGGAGTCACCCACTGAGATGTCCTTGGCTGGGTTTTCTGATAACTCGGTGTCATTGTTTAGACCCAGGCTGTGACTGAGGGCAGGATGAGGAGGAGAATGAAAAGAATGTAAACCCCATGGGTTGCGATAAGAACAGATTAATAACGAAAATAAAGTAAAATATAGTGATAATAAAATCCCAACAATAATGATAATAACATTAAATAACAAGAGAAGAAATGAAAGTTCAGAAAACACAAGTGATGCACAAAACAGTTGCTCACCACCCCACTTACTGATACCCAGCCTGACCGGAACAGTGATCGTTGTCTCCCAGCCAACTCCCCCCAGTTTATATACTGAGCATGACATGGTGTTTTATGGAATACTGCTTTGGCTAGTTGGGGCCAGGTGTCCTGTCTCTGCCTTCCTCCTGGCTTCCCCTCCTCACTGGCAGAGCATGAGACTGAAAAGTCCTTGATCAGGGTAAGCACTGCTCAGCAACAAGTAAAACATTGGTGTGTTATCAGCATTGTTCTCAGGCTGAAGCCAAAACACAGTACTGCACCAGGTACTAGGAAGAGAAATAACTCTTAACAGCTGAAACCAGGACACTTGGGCATCCCAGGATCCCACCATCTTCCCAGCCCTGCTGAGTCTTCTGTTGGTGGAGTCAAAGGGAAGGCATGACCGGTCTCTGCAGGAGCTGGCCCTGTGTGAGCAGGCTGGTGGGTACCGCTATAGAGCAGCCCCAGTGAGGGCTTTGCTCAGGGCCTCTGATCTGTGCACCAGATTAAGAAGTGACTGAAAATCCAGGATTTGGCTGTGTCTTTGCTTGGGTCTCAACCCTTCGTTCAGAGAAGAGTTTTTTCTTTCCCTTAACCTGAATTAACTTTCACAGGTGGGCAAGCCCCACTGTGTGGGTTGATCAGGAAAGTTGTTCAGCCCGTTTTTCTCTCTTGGGAGTACAGAACAGCTTTCCCATCACCAAAATTCCTGGTGTTGTATTAACTAGCTCCTAGCAACTTCTAAAGCACCTGAGAAAGAAGAATCACTGGCAATGTGAGTGTTTTATCCACAATGAAAGCAAACACCATTCATATCTGAAGTCTTTTTTTTTTTTGTGGCCAATTGTTTGATAAAGACGTTGCAAACCAGATCTCTGCTTGTTCCTGTCAGTTGTGAAAAGGTCCTTTGTCAGCAGTGCATTGTGGTGGAATGAGCTTTATCTTCTGTATGTAGCTATCAGCTTAGGCTTTCCTCCTTGCAGTCAAAGAAAATCCTAATTAGAGCCCTAGAAAAACCTAATTAGAGCCCTGAACACTTCTAGAAGGCTTGCAGGGTATGGGCAAAATGTGTTTATTGGTCTCCTCCTAGCCCTTGTTGCTCAGCCTTTTAGGCAGAGCATCTCTATAATTTGATGTGAGGGAGTTGCTTGGATTTCCTCATGTTTAGAGAGCTACAAGAGTTGTAATCACTGCTTGTACACAGATTTCTTCATGGATGTTGAGTGCGAGAATAGGTGTTAGCTGCAGCTCTGGAGTACAAGCAGTGCTCAAGGTCACCCAGGAAGATGGGGTATTAAGTTGCTGTGCTCCAGCGGTGCAGTCTGTTTGGTGCTTCTGGAGCTGCCTGAAGATCTGACAAAACCTGCCCAATACCTGGGTAACCTGGAGCAGCCCCAGTGGTGCTTGCCCTCTGCGCTGTGTGGGCCTGCGCTGACGCTGAGCAAGGAGAAAAGCTGTGGTTGATGTACCCCAAATCTTGCGTTCTGCATTGCCCCTTTGGGGCAGCTTCAAAGGGACTGTTGATATAAAGGCTTTCCTCTTGGTCGGCACAAGCACCTGGGCTGGGGGAGCTGCCAGGTTATCCCTGGGTGCAAGTTAAAAGATGAACTCCTTCAGCATTTAAAGTGCTTACTGATAAAATAGCAATGCCTTTCAGTCAGGGTGCAGAGTGTTGGGTCAAAATGTCCTTTGGGGGTAGGTCTATGGACAGATGCATGTTATCAATTAAAAAAATAATACAAAATGCCTCAGGTTGGCTTCTTGTGAGTGTAATGTGAGGGTGTGTGTTTCGAAAGCACATAACTGATTACACAAATCACAGATGGGCTAAGTCAGTATTAATGATGGTTGGATGACAGTGAAAAGCAGCCTTGGCACATTGCAGGGATATTCTTGTCATGACTAACCCCTCTCACTCTCACCCCAGAGGAATTTTTTAGTGCCCAGCACAGACAGGCACTGAAATTGCAGGTTTGCAGAAGTTTTCAAATCTCTCCCCAGCTGGCAGCGAATACAGGAATTGCAAGTATTTATTGGTTTAAGGGGGGGCAAAATAACCTCAGAGCTATAAAGTAAATTTGACAATGAAGGTTTTTTTAGGGAGTCTTCCTTTCTTTATGGTTGTGTGAGTCGAATGTATTGAAGCTTGGCAGAGGAAGAGGATTTAATCTACAGGTGCTGTCTCTAGCTTGATGGTTTCCTGCTTCTAAAATTACTCCCAGTTCTCTGGAATCGGGGCTGAAACTAGTTTCAGGTTTCGGTTTGCGGGCAACCTGCCTCACCACTTCAGCAGGCTGGATTTGTAAGGGTTGGGGGCAGCAAATGTGAGTGCTTTTAAAGGTTCTTGTCTTGGCTGCCAAAAATCCATTTGCTACTTCTAAATTATTTATGACTGAAACTTCATATTCACGTCTTTCTCTGCTTGAGAGGGAAATGCTGAAGCCACTGATGCTGAAATTTGGCTTTGATCTTTCTTTTTCTGTCCCTTTCTTCCCTCGTTGATTGGAGGGGACCCTGCCCAGGGTGAGGGATGCTGGTGTACCTGCACTCATCCTGCTGCTTTTGACCCCAGGACCATGTTTTAGAGGACATTGACTTCTGTGCACCTGACAGTAGCAAGAGCCAACCTTAGCAAAGCAAATTCATTGTGGATCTCAGTCATTAGGTTATGCTAAAACCTTCGACCCCTTTTGCAGCATGCGTTTTCACAGAGGGCCTGTCCCTCTTTTCAGGTGCTCGCTAACAGCATCTCAGTGTGTGCCATTCGTGCCCAAACTTTGTGCCCTAATTGCAGGAAATGTAATTGGAGATACACAAAACCATACTTTTATTTCTATAAGTAAACAAATATATTTTTTAAGAGCTGGAATAATTCTGCTAGCATGTTTTGAATGGTCCTCTATTTATCGCTTCAAGATGTTGCTCGGCACTTTATATTGACAAAACCATCCTAGTAATTACTTTCAGAATAAAGATCTTTCTTAATGTGTGATCTTTGCTTTTTCCCTGAGTGCCTGCATCTGCAGGTGCTAGTTTATTATGCACAGAAAATACTTAACTATCTGCTGAATCACCGTGCTGCTTCAGGTTGCAAAGAAGCAGTGAACTATCACAAGACGTATCCTTGCTAAAGCCAGCAACGCAAGAGTATCTGCTTGTCTCCTGAATCCTTTGCATTGCTTTGAGGGGCTCTGCAGAGCTGAAGGTGTTGACAAGCTGTTTTCTTGGGCTCCCATCTGCTGAGCAGCATTATGTGGATTAATACCGAGGAACTCGCAGTGAAATTTGTCTCATGCCACGAAAATGTAAAGCCTCCAAAGCTGGCTGGCATCCCAAGGCTGTGAGAGGCCCTTGGAGGGGCTGGTGGTGAAGGTGGCAGGATTTGCACTGTCCTGGAGCTGTTAACTGGACATGATCTGAGGGGTTTGTAATGTTTGCAGCAGTTCAGAAGCACAAAATACTGGTTTGTGCAATATTTTTACCCCAAGGGTGTTCCTTGAGTTGGAATCAATCTCCCACCAATCCTCCTGGTTTTTGCCTTGCAGTATTTTGGGGATGCTGTGGCTTCGCCCGCTTTGCTTTTGCAGGAAACCATCATTACACCACTTCCTTTTTACCTTTGCAGTGTTAAAGCCAGGAGATGAATTAGAGACCCGAGGTTCTAGCAGCAAAAAGGGGCCTGAGTGTGTGTTCTGCTGCTCTGCAGTAAAAATCCTACATATTATTACACAGGTTATCATAGGCAAGTTGGGGGATGGGGCACAGATGCATCCCAGCCCTGGTGCATCTGGAAGGTGGACCCTTGCCCATTGTCCAGTTGTGAGGTCCATCTCCGTATCAAAACCCCAGTTTTCATGGCCAAAGGCATTGATGGAGGCATTCACTAGGATGCTGAATGATGGTGGAACCCCCATGCTGCCCCATCTCCTTGTGGGCTACGGGGATGCTGAAGTGCCATCAACTTCCTCGCTGTCATCATCTCTTGGTTTTCATGAAGCTTTTTGTGAAGGAGCAGCTCTTTCTGCTGGGGTCCTTGTGCACTTTTATCCAGGATTGCATTTACGTCAGCATCAGGTGGTTTTCATTTAATCTTTGCCCTGCTTAAAAATTAAATACTGAGGTACTAGAAAGAGAAGTAGTCTCCCAGATAAACATTTTTTCCCTACGCTCCTCTGTAATTCATGGGGGAGCTGGCTTACCCAGCTTGCGGATGACTAAGGAGGAAATTCTTTTTTGGTTAGGATAATGCTGAGAGTTCACTGGAATTTTTTTTATCATGGGTTTATCACTTCCTCCCTTCGAATTCCTAGCTCTTATGTGCAGTGCAGGAGAAAAAATAATGGTGACCACAAGTTATGGAATTTGCCTTCTGTGGAAAAGATGCTGAACAGCTAAATGGTGCTCTCAGGTCTGCTGTAGTTTTCATGGGGGATTTGCTTCATATCCAGTTATATAAACATGCTGGGTAAGAGTCATGAATATTCTAGCAGCTACCATCTTTCAAATGTGGGGTGTTTTTTATGTTGGAGTTAATTAATGCTCATATCTCTTGAATATAGGTGAGTGTAAGCCCGTTCATCATACAGATGGGGAGGAGGTTTGGATTTATGGCAGGTCTCTGAGAGATGGCAGGGTCAAAGTTAAGTTTATGTGTAAAGAGTTTCTGGTTCATCTTGTTAATCTCCATGCCTCCCTTTTTTATAGAGGGGATCTGGATGTATGTCTCTAGAGAACACAGATGGAGCTTGGCCAGAGAGACCCTGCCTTTCCGTTAAACACGTGTTTATTCTTGCAGTGTTTGCCTCCCGGTGGTGTTAAAATGATCCTTCTGCAAAGGCTTGACATGCTGCTGAAAAGCTTTGACACTGCAAAGCATTGTTTACTTGTGAAAGTATTATTATATTTTGAATATCTATTATTCATCTTGTGTGCTAAAAGTGACATTATAGCTTGAAATTGCTCTTAGGTTTCAGAGCTTTGAGGAAAAGCTGGTTTTTGTCCCGGGCTCCTGTGACAGTGCTTTACCCTTTGTATCTCTGTAGTCCCCTTTTATGAATTGTGAGTGACAGCAGGAAAGTATAAAAGAGCGCAGAGGAGCTGGTTTTGATGTTCATAAAAGGCTTTGATAAAAGATGCAGCACGTAGACTTGATATTATTTCCTATTTTTAACTTCTTAAGAGCGTAAAGCGCTCAGATCCAATATTTATGTAAAGGGGGGAAAAGGGAAGCTGTATTTCTTCTCTTTTTTTTTTTTCCTTCTTCATTTTTCTTTTTTAGGAGCAGATGAATTCAATTGGAAAAGTGTCTCTTCTGTGCCCCAGTAAAATTTTGCTTTCTTCCATAAAGCATCTATGTCTGTCTTCCATGAAGCATCAGTAAAGCTAACCCCATGGCATTAACGGTGTAGAGAGACCAGCTGCAGTTTCAAAGGCTCCTTGGACGTAGGCTTATGCCTTCAATCTCATGGGTCCATCTGTCTCCTGTGGACCCACCAGCTGTGGGGTGTGCATGGCAAGGCGTGTGCTTCCAATAATAGGTCTCTCCCCCTGAGACCCAGAGAAATAAAATATGGGAAAGCCATGGCAGCTCTCCTTCTTTCTCTAAAAGTCAGATCACCGTAAAGGCATCTTTGTAATGAGTAGTTTTGCTTGCTCCATGGAGATGAGAGGCTCTGTGCAGGCTGGGTAATTGGGGTTTTCCTGATGAAAGTGCTTGTCATTGTTTCCAGCCTCCATGTTGCAGTCTCCTCTTTAATCTTGTTGTCAAGCATTGGCGTGCTTGCAGTAGGCCTGTGTAGTCATGCATATTCATGTGCATGTACACATGAACACATCCATAAACCATAAATCAGGTGCTTTCCTATATGCGTGTGCATATGTGTGAGGAGGAGTGTGTAGCGCATGCAGGTATGACATTGGCATGGCCATTTGTGCAGTTGAGTTCTTCATCCGTGCAAGGGCCTTCATGCTTGCTATGGAGACTCCTAATGATGGCAGCATGCAGACCTGACATTGAGATCCACCTGATAACAAGTCATTCTCATGCTTAACACCACATTTTTTACTTTATTGGGGTGAAATGCATTGAAACACCCTATTCAGGGGAGAACGGGTCCTGTTGTCCCCGGAAGAACTCCAGGACAGAGCAGTTTTGCCAAATCCCACCTTGCTGCAGTGCTGATGAAGAGTTTTATCTTGATGGGATGAGCACAGTGATACCTGTCAGTGAGTTCTTCAGCAACTTGCATTCATCCAAGTGGCTGTTCAAGTCAAGTGTTGGGTTTGAAGTAGATGGACTCATGCAAAGACATCCCAACTGGTCACCTATCTGAGGTGAATAAGCACCTCCTGCACAGTTCCTCATGCAGGAACTTTTATGTGAAACCTGAAAAACAAAGGGAGTTACCAGCCTTGGGTGGTCATCAGAAGATGCTGAGAAGTGTGCTTGCACGGTGACTCCCTGCACTTGCGGTTCCTCTGGGAGCTTGCAAAGCTGGACACTGAGCATCTACCATGTGAGATGCTCTTTTGGGGTGTGTTGGCATAGCATTATGCCTGCTTGATGACCTTGCCTCTCATGTACACCTTTGCGGTGGTGAATCCTCAGTTATAGCTCAAATTGAAGACTCCAGGAGCGTTTAACTGCGCCCACACATGACTTTATACAGTGAGTAAATTAAAATCATCACACCTGAAGCATAGTCTAGTTTTTTTCTTGGCAGTGGGTAACACCATGCACAAGAAGGTGCTGTCATCCTCTGCTGTGTGACTTGCTGGACTTGGCTGGTTTATAGCAGAAGTGTGTTGGCACATACAGGTGTCTTTTCAGCTTCTGACAGGTTGTCCAGTTAGCCAAAATTTTTGGGTATCCTCAGTTATTCTGTAAGTTGTGGCAGGACTTCATTATGCCATTGCAGTAGATACTGTGTTGAACTGGAAAAGCTGTTGCTGAATCCAGGAGAGACAGAAGGGACCGGTCAGGGTAGGACTTACTGAGCCAGAGCGACACCATGCCGTGCCTCACTGTGTGATAGCATGGGCTTGGACCCCCGGAGATGTTTGCACCCTCCTTTGCTGCATGCTGTGCCAGCTGAGGGTTTTCAGTTGTGTTTCCAGAAGCAGTCCATCAACCTTGCTGCAAGCTGGGCAGGAGCAGGCTCTGGAGCACACAGAGGCTCCCCAGAACCTGGGGCTCCGTGGCATTGAGCAGAGCTGTTCCAAAACATCTGATGAAACATGGACCTTGGCTGGTGGGACCTGCGGTTCCTCTTCTTTTGAAAGAAGCTGGGAAAGGTGCCCCAAAACAAGCACCGGAGAAAGTGTCCAGATGAAAGGTCTGGTGAGCATCAGGGTCCCCTCTGCCATGTTTTCAGGCTCTTCTGTAATCAGCTGTCATTTGGGGATCTGGGCATATTGGACTTCAGTGAGTATGGATTGAAACTTAAACAAACACTGACTCTTCTATAAATATTTAGCTCACACTGTTTAGGAGCTGCTGGGAGCAGGAAACAAAATAAATTTGGAGTTCATGACTGTCTAAAAAAGCTGCCGGAGGATGGCACCCAGTCACCAGATTGGCTGGCACGTAGTTTTGAATAGCTATTTCTCCCTGTTTTTTTCCTGAAGAAAGCGATGTATTTAAGCATCCTTTGCCGACACATGAGT